TTTTAACAGAGTTCATTTATTAGTAACCTTGTGCCATTGTATAGCCCATTTGATTGGTCTATGTTCCTCAGCGGCATGACTAGAACACCAATCTTTAACCTTAATCAGTGATTTGGCATACCCGAACATTTCATCTCATTTAGAAACTCTTGTGTGAACCAATCTGCCTGAACTGAAGAATTTTCATCAAAAATAACAATTGAGTCAGAACTGAGATATTCCTTTTCAGTACCTGGAATCAATGATAATATAAAATCATTAATGACATCTACCGCATCATGAGTAGGAGCAAGTAACACTCTTTCTTCGTAGTATTTCAGATTGTTCATGTTCTGTAAAAGAAGTGGATACGTTACTTTAACCAAAGATAAGAGAGAATTATACGATTGCACAACTAATAAGTCGTCTGGAATTTGAATTGTGCTCTCTCCATATTCATCTGAGCATTGTTTACCATTTCCAATATCAAGCATCAAGTATGGGAAATCTTGTATTTCACCCGAGTCTTCGAGGAGTTTGTTGCAGAAAGTTGCATGTTTTTTGTCAAATTCAGTACCTTGCAATATTTCCACAGTTCATATGAGTTTATTAAAGCTTATACAATGTCGTTCCTACAGCCCTTTTTTACCACAAGTAGTATTTTCTTAAAATCTCCACCAAATACAACCACCTTACCCCCCAAATAGTTTATATTGATTTGAATCATCTACGATCCTCATTATGTCCCTCAAAGAATGATCAACAGCCTCAACACAAAATCTATTTAGCATTGAAGCTTCATCCCATATTATAAGTGCAAAATTCAAGATGAGATCACATCTATCGGGGCGTTTTTTGATGTTTCACGTAGCTGTTTCAGTTGTAACAAAAGGAATACAGAACATAGATTGAGTTGTTTTACCTCCAGGTAACAATAGAGAAGCAATCCACTTGAAGCAACATTTAAAATAATCAAACCTTATGACCTAAGAGCCGCTGACAAAGTTTTCCAAATGAACGTTTTTCCCGTGCCTCCATATCCATGCAAGAAGTAAAATCCTCCATATCCAGTCATAACAGAATTCACAATTTCATTGTAAACCAACCTCTGCTCAGTAGTCAAGCTCGACATCAATGTCATGTAGGTTGCAGCCAAATTTTCCTTATCGTAGTTTAATTTGGTAGCCATTAAACTATTCCTAAATTGATCCATTTCTGAATTTGAAGGTTGTGGCATGGAATCAAAGTCATCAAGAGATTTACCGTTTAATGAAAGCAACTTTTCGATCTCAATGAAACATAAATTCTTCAATTCGTCATCAATAAGCTGAAGACCTACAACAGAATTTACGGATTTCAATACATATCAAAGAGAAAATAAAACATTTATCAAACATATATGTTAATATCTTCGTTGTTCACGCGCTTCCTTGCATCATACGAAATTCCATCGCACAGGAGATTCCATGTTGCGTCCCAAACGACATAAGGATTTGTCATTGAGTCCATAAACAATAACATAACAAACAATCTCCTTAACTAGTTACTAGAGGACAAATGTCTGGCTTTATAATAGCATACACAAATTCGTTGTCATTTCACAACAACCCTAATGTGGCACATGCTTCCTTAAAGTTTTGTGTATTGTTCCAGACACGGTCTTAATATCATTGTAACATGTGCAACCCTTTTGTATAGTCAACAAAAGCCTTAAATAAAAAACATTACCACATCTAGGGGAATATAAGTAAGCCTTCTAATAGAGTTACCTTTTTGTCTGGGATCCCACACTTTGATCTTTTTATCATAAACAAACATTGTAGGAAATTTAGCATAAGTCAACCCTTGTCCTTGTGGATATTTTTATTTGCCTCAAACCAAGCCAAAAACATGGTGTCAATGTCTTTATTACGGTTTACAACAGATTAAATTGTATTACTTTCCGAAAACATTATAGACTACTCGTTTTCCAGGTGAAAAGTAAGCCTTATAACAGAAGGCCACCTATGATGTATGTCAAACTCAAAAATCCTCCAGACAGCCTCACACGGTGCCAAATAATGACATTCATAGTGTAATACGGTGGCAGAACTGACTTTGGTGTTTTGCGTTTGATCGCAATTATTGCGGATAGCAAGAGTTGCCATCGACTTTTCTTTTATCTAATAAAGGAAAGGGTGAAAAGAACAGGAAAGTCCTTTTGAGAATTTTCTTGAGTTCGGGGGGTAGGTTATGAAAAGGGAAGGTGTTAACACCCACCCTTTTCATCTGTAGTTATCTACGGGCTCTTAGTTTCTAGCTCACTTTGAAATGCTTTATTTGAAATGTGTTTGTGTTTGTTTGAAATTATTTTTGAAAAGTGCCTTTGTTTAGGCGAACTTTGTAATGATTCTCGTCTCTATAAGAATGCATACAAAGTGTTGACTTTTGAAAATATTTCATTTGAAAGTGTTGGTGTGTTTTGAAAGATGTTTTGAAGATGATTGTAAGCAAGCAACTGCGAGCGTTCTACCTACTCAAAAAGTCTTAGTTCTTTTCCTCCTCCTTTAGATATTGCTACCTTACCATTGATTGATAAGAGGCCCTATCATTAGATGTGAAGGGACGAGTGTGGGTCGTCGTATAATCATGGAAGGCAACATTGTAGGATACCTTAGCAATTTGTCGTAAGGGTCTAAGATCGTTTACCGAAGGCAACATTGAAGGGTCATCTAAGGACTACGATCTTGTATTCGAGGGTCATTGCTAAAGTATCCCACGTTCCAGGGACATGACTATTTTTCTCAAGGCAACAAGTGTGGATTACCCTAGAGGTGCGCGTGTGCGAGTGTATTAATTTCATGCTTTTTTGTCTTGAATTAGGGTTGTCTACTTGTTGATTTTAAATCTTGGCATACACACCCTAATTACTAGCAACAATATTGAAAGCGATAAATTGCAGAATTTTAAAGTCCTATGCTATTACATCTTTTTTTGGGGATGGGGCTACAAGTTTACAAATGTGGAGTGAAAGCAAATAAATCCTAATTACTATTACAACCATATTGAAGAATGATTAACAATACAAATATGTAAAGATAATGTAAAAAAAGGGAAAAAATGCTTTAAGAAAACTTTTATGTATTGACACATTAGCTTATGTATTGATACGAAAATTTTATATATTAGCGCATGCATTGGCTCATACTGCTTTGTATTGGATGATACTGCTTTCTTGCTCCTAGAAGTCAAAAACAATTCAGTATGAGTCGACGCATAAGGGTTTGTATCGACTTATACTGCTTTGTATCAACACATATGCTTTTTGTATCGACTCATGCTCATTTCTAGCTCCTGGAAGTCAAAAAAACTCAGTATGAGTCGACACATAAAGATTTTGTATCGACTCATACTGCTTTGTGTTGCAACTGGTTTCTAAATCAGAGAATCGCCACCCTCAATTGTTATCCTAAAGGAAGGGAGTATAAAGGAATAACCCTAAAGTTCAGAGATTCTAGATTTGGACTCGGTTCTAGACGAGGGGAAGGTGTTAGGCACCCCTTATCTACCTTGTTCACAAGGATACTAGGTTTAGAAGCACATTTTTAGGAAATAGGGTTTTTAATTATTATTGGGAAAAAGGTTTGAATTTTAGTTAGCAGGACTCGCCACGATTTTTGATCGCATGCCTACATATCCTCCTAGGAGGAATCAGAGTCCCATTTTCGTAGTTCGCGGTTGGTTTGTATTTTTTACGGATTACATAGATATTTTAATTTCCCCGCACTTAGTTCGAATGTGTAGATAATGGAGATTTTAAACTAAGCGTGAAGTTAATTAAAAACTCTTTGTATTCCTTTTTGAAAATTGATTGTTTGATTTAATTTATTACAAAAATAGTTTGACGTTTGTTTGCGTATTTTTTAGACGTGTGTAATCAAAGAGTCTGATATAGCTCTCTTATCACATGGCTAGATATTGACCATGTGTCGCTTACAAATACTATAGTTTAATAAGAATTACGGGTTCTAATATTTGGATATAAAGTATTTAACCTAAATTATGTCGTGAAAAATATTTTTAAGCACGAGATTTTAATATGGATAAACAAAATATTTAACTAGGTCTAAAAATCACTATTTAATTATGATAATAAGTAAATAATGTGTATATAAATAATTATTAAAGTAAAATATAAATAAATAAATACAAAAAATATAATTAAATAAATAATTGTAGGAATAAATCTATAAAAGAAAATAAAAGATATAAATAATTGGAGAGGGGGGTGTAGTTTCAATTGTATAATAAATTATAGGGGCGCTAAAAGAAAATTGGGCTAAGCCCAAAACGATTCTGGACAGGGGGGTGTGAATCATTCTGCAGTTTAGTAATTCAATAATGGGGGTGTTAAAAGCGTCGGGCCTAGGCCCGTTATGTGAGTTAGAGAAGGCCGGTTGGGTTGGGTGCTTGTAAGGGTGCAGGGGAGCATGGTAAGGACTCAGCCTATGATCGTTCAATTATGATGGCGCGGTACAGAATGAGGGACTACATTAATTATCATGGACGCGACGTACGTTATTAGGATGGACAGAGCAATTGTTTGAACTCAAATCTCATTATTTTGTTTCAGCTACCACAAGTTGTTTCTCTCTCTCTCTCTCTCTCTCACGCCCTCACCCTTAACCTTTCTTCTCCTCTCTCAAACCTCGGTAACCCTAATCTTTCCACTACCAACGGTGCCGCTCGCCGCTCGCCTCTCCCCTTCTCCATCACCCTAAAACAAAACGAAAATCCTCCCAGATCTAGATATACGCACACTCAAGTCATACAAAACAAGAAAGAGATAAAAAACTATGTAATTCACAAACTCATCGCGGTTCTTTGTACTATCTTACATTCTGGATTCCTCTGATCCCTTCTCTCTTGTTTGGACAGGTACCAAGGGATGGAAGCTTGGAGCAGTAGTGATTCGAACAACGGATGGCGAATAGGGAAATTAGGGTTTCAGATTATGAAACTCTAATTTCTTATTTTGCAAAATGAACTCTCCTTTGCGGCAATTTTCTTCTTCTTGGTAAGAAATTTTTTACTTTATATCTTTTTTTTTTGTAATCTGCCAATTTTCTTTAATTTATAGCGTTTCCACAAATTAGTTTTTTTGGAAAGCCTTTACTCTGTCTGCTATGAATTTGAATTGTTTCCTCTTTGCTTTTGATTTTCTCTTGATTATGATTAATGGGGTTTTAGACATTTACTGATTTCAAAGCTTTTTCAAAATGTTTCCACAAATGCCCTGATTATGTTTCTGTACTTGCCAAATTTGCTTGCTGAGCATTGATTCCGATGTTAATGTCCCTTGATTTTTTAATATTATTCTGTTATAGCATAATTGTTAAATTTCTGTTTTGGGTCAACACTTAATTGTCTTGGTTTAATTCCTTTCTTTTAATTCTGATATGCAAGGAATATCCACTTTGATGAAATTAATCGTGCAATGCACTTTGTTTTCTTAATACATGGTGATTTATCAGTACAGGGCAAAGCTTGGAGAATTTCAACCTGAATTATGGTCTAAAACCTAACACCCTAATCGTTCGCAACTTGTGGGTTTGTGGGCTAAAAATAATTCTTGCCTTTGTACTGATGCAAGCTCGTAATGATATCTCTCTTTATATCAGTCACGGCTTGTTAGATGTGTAGGCTATATCCCATATGTACACACAATGCCACATTAACGTACATGTTTCTGTTTGGATTTTATGCAGGCCAAGGACCGGCGTTCAACTTGAAGCGAGTATATGCAGAGTTGTCATTGGCATGAGGTATGGTTTTAAAAGGCTGCGCTGCTATTTTTATCCATTCTGTTTTGTCTGATATTGATGCAGGATTCTTCTTTGCAGGTATGCTGACATAAAGCCTGCCATGGAGGAGTCTTGGGGGATGGGGCCATGAGGAGAAAGATTAGAGATTGTAAAATATTAGGATATTTTGAATATGTTAGGATAAGCTTAGATCTTAGAATAGGCAGTTTTATGTAAAGTTTTTATCCTGTAAAACTCCCGCATATATGCCATTTGTAATGATGCAATTTCAAACTGGTTTTGAATTTGAAACATCTTTTCATTCTTCAATGTATATAATATGTTAATTCTTTCCATTCTGTTAATTTCTTAAACTCCAAGGCAAAATTCCAAGTTTCAAAATTCCCCTTTCATATTAAGAATTATTTCTTCTGCTTTTGAATAAAACACAAACATGTCTTAGTAAAACTTACTTGACCTTGACATGATGATGTTGGATAGGTTTAAATGGACAATAAATTGTTGGCAGTTTGGACGATAATGAACGGATGTTGCTTGAAGGTTTTTTAGAAGAGTGATTCTTTGATGAAACTCCTTGAATAATAATTCTTTTATGATTTTCATAAGAAAATAGATTTAAAATAAAGTTTAAACCATATTTTCTAAAGAAACCTCAATCCCCAGTCCCTCCTAAAAAGGAAAATCATAAACAAATGAGAGAGTATAGTCATGTCATGATTTATAGTGAATCCATCATTTCTTGTACCATGCCTTACCTTAAAATAAACTCAATAAAAAACCAAAATTGAAACCCTAGTGATCTTGCCCTTAAAAAAATGATGACTTTGTAGCTTGATGCAATAAAAAATACATGATAACCCTGAATTAAACTCTGATTTCACAATCCAATACTCATTAGGCCTTTTAATGCAGGAGTCTTCAAATCATGTGGAACCTTAGCTTTATGGATTCCTTGATCCCACGCTAAGTTTATTGATTAATGGTGCATGATGTGTTTAGATGATCTAATGGAGGGTAGGACAAATTTGAGGTATGGCAGCTTCCCCTATTTAATTATCTTTCGATTGGACGGTGCGGGAATACGCAAGTCCCGCATGTTCTAATCAGAAGTTTATTAAATAATGGAGGACCCAAAAATTTGTCTGAAAGCTTACAATGATATACTGCACAAAGTTCCTATGTGTTCGGAGAATAGGTGTAGATGATGATGTATCATCTAACCCGTGTTTGAACCGAAGTTGACTAATGCCTGGAGACTGATATAGTAAGTTCTGCTTTGATTTGGTCTTGCTTCATTCACCGCAACCTAGGGGGTGGATAAAACAAAATCTGATAACACATTGTTGCGTGGAGACTAGAGTAAGGGGTTATATCTGGGGAATAAGTTGTGATGGTGATATTGCTGCTTGGAGACTAACGCAATGGGTTATACGATAAAAGCGAGTTTGACAAAACAAATGTTGCATGGAGACTGATGCAATGGAGAAGGTTTGATAATGAAATTTTTGCATGGAGACTGGCGAAATGGGATGAATTGTAGATTTCACACATTTGCTGCATGGAGCCTGACACAATGAGCTAGATTGTAAGGAAAGAACATATTATTGCGTGGAGACTGACAAAATTTTTGGACATTGATGCATAGAGACTGACACAATGAGTGGAATTACAGATTTTGCAACATTGTTGCCTGGGGTCTGACACAACGAGCTAAGAAAGAAACAACATTGCTGCGTGGAGACTGACACAATAAGTTAATTTGAAAATTCCATACATTGTCGCATAAAGACTGACACAATGAGTGGATTTGCTGGCTTTGCAACATTGCTGCCTAGGGTCTGACATAACGGGCCAAGAAAGAAACAACATTGCTGCATAGAGATTGACACAATAAGTTAATTTGAAAATTTCACACACTGTCGCATAGAGACTCACACAATGGGTGGATTTGCTGACTTTGCAACATTGCTGCCCGGGATCTGACACAACGAGCTAAGAAAGAAACAACATTGCTGCATGGAGACTAACACAATAAGTTAATGTAAAGGAAGTTGTTTTGAGCAATCCGTATCTTAGCTTGACTGAAACTGGGACGAGATAGATTTTGTTGGTTATCTGCTTCTAACCGTAGTGAGAATTGATTGGAGGGCCCTCAAGATAACGATTTTGCTCGTAGTGGGTTCCGAGGAATGCCATATGCGATGTATGACGTGTAATGATTGATTGATGCATTTGGTAAATGACTTGGATAATGTGTGAATAGATGCTTGAAATTTTAAATGCGAATGCGTATGATTGGGCATATGTCTCAAATGTATATATATATATATATATATATATATATATATATATATATATATATATATATATATATATATATATATATATATATATATATATATATATATATATATATATATATATATATATATATATATATCAGTGAAACTATGTACATATATCCTAAATGTTGTGAAAATGTTTTTGTATTCTCCTCTTTTAAACCATTAGTTTTGAGTTGCCAACCCCTTTTTGCAACGTCGCAGTATTTTAAACTTGATTTGAACACGGATCTCGATGTTTGTGGCATGGGCGCAAGTGTAAGCATGGACGTAGACATGGACGTTGTTGACATGAATATTGATATAGTTACAGATGTAGGCGTGACTATTCCTTTAATGTTCTTTTGACCAAAATATTTTTCGATGTTTTATCGAGTGCTTTTATTGGTATGTCAATCCCTCAACATGATTTCAAATGATATTTACAAATAATAAATACAATATTTTGCAAACAAGTCTTAAAAGAAGGAAACACATTTGAAATATTTAAAGAAGACTTCAATGTTTTTATTGATAAAAAATGCCTCTGAATAGGCGAGTGTACAAGATGTAATCCCTAAAAAGAGGTAATTACAGAAAGTTTTGATAAAAAAATTGTAAATGGCAATAAAAAATTATGGTTGCTACTGCTATTTCCCCAATGTTCTCTTGATAGCTCCAATCGTCTTCGCTTTTGAGTCAGATGATTTAGACTGATTCCTCCCTTCATTGTTTGTAAACGTGGTTCGTAGATTGCAGCCTTTTTGTTCTTTATTTCTTTGAACGAAATCCCTAATTTTTGCCTGGATCGCCCTTTCGGGTTTTCAATCCACCGGGATATTTTTTTTTGTATGTCCCTAATTTTTGCCAGGATCGCCCTTTTTAGGGTTTTCAATCCACCAGGACGCTCCTTTTTGCCTAAGTCGCCTTTTTAGAGGCCGAGCTTAGTGAGCTTTCTTATACATAGTATTTTTTGACTGCGTCTATATTTGCCGGGTGCGGCAACTCTTCCCCATCCATTGTTGTGAGGATAAGACCACCACCAGAGAATGTTGTTTTTACCACGAATGGACCCTCGTAATTGGGTGTCCATTTACCATGTGAATCGAGGCGGGGCAGCAAAATCTTTTTGAGTACTAAGTCTCCTTCTTTGAATACGTGAAGACAGACTTTCTTGTCGAAGGCTTTCTTCATTTGTTTTGATATAATTGACCATGGCACAAAGCTGTCAAGCATTTTTCTTCAATGAGGTTGAGTTGATCAAGTCGTGTTTGAACCCACTCGGCTTTTTCGAGCTTAGTTTCCATTATCACTCGGAGTGACGGAATTTCTGTCTCAATTCCGTCACTAATGAAAAGGGAGTTGCACCAGTTGACGTATGCACAGAGGTACGATAGCCATGTAAAGCAAAGGGAAGCATTTCATGCCAATCTTTGTATGTCTTTACCATCTTCTGAATGATTTTCTTGATATTCTTGTTCGCAGCTTCGACGGCCCCGTTCATCTTGGGTCGATAGGGTGAGGAATTATGATGTTCGATTTTGAAATGGTCGCACAATTCTTTCATATTTTTGTTATTTAAATTAGACCCATTATCAGTTATAATCTTGTTTGGGACTTCATATCTGCATATGAGATCTTGCTTGATGAAACGAGTGACCACTTGGCTCGTCACATTTGCGTATGATGCGTCCTCCACCTATTTGATGAAGTAATCGATGGCGACCAGTATAAGTCGGTGTCCGTTAGATGCCTTTGGTTCGATCATACCTATCATATCGATCCCCCACATTGAGAACGACCAAGGAGAGCTCATGACATTCAGAGGAGTAGGTGGTACATTCATTTTATCGGCGTAGATTTGGCATTTGTGACAGGATTTTGTATAATGATAACAGTCTGCCTCCATCGTTAACCAGTAATACCCTGCCCGTAGAATCTTTCTTGCCATAGTGTGCCCATTTGTATGGGTTCCGAAGGTACCTTCGTGGATTTCTCTCATAAGCGTGTCTGCTTCCTGTTTCTCTACACACCTGAGTAACACCATATCATAATTTCTTTTGTATAGTACATTACCACTCAGAAAGAATTTCGATGCTAGCCTTTGCAGGGTTCGTTTATCGATGATAAAAGCATCTTTAGGGTATTCTTACTTTTCAAGATACCTCTTGATGTCATAGAACCAAGGCTTATCATCGAGTCCTTCTTCAATGGCGAGGAAGTGTGCTGGCTCTTCAAAATGTATGATAGTGATGCGTGGCTCGTGGTTGGGCCATGCTACTTTAAACATGGCTGATAAGGTCGCTAAAGCATCTACCATTTGATTTTCTTCTCGCGGGATATGATTGAAAGTGATTTCGGTAAATTCTCTAGCCAGTTTTAAGACGTGGTCCCAATATGGAATTAAGTTCGGGTGTTTGGTGTCTCATTCACCCTTGACTTGGCATGTGACCAATGCGGAGTCTTCGAATACCTTAAGATATTTGATTCTCAAGTCGATGGCAACTTCCAGACCTAGAATGCAAGCTTCATATTCGGCGATATTGTTGGTACAATCGAAACATAATCTTGCAGTATAAGGTTTATGATAGTTCTTTGGGGAAGTTAAAACTGCCCTGATACCGTGTCCTAATGCATTTGAAGCTCCACCGAACATGAGTATCCACTGTGCCCCTAGTTCAGTTCCTTCGTCGGGTCCTAGTATTTCGTAGTCATCAATAGCCATGACATCTTCGTCTGGGAAGTCAAATTTCATGGGTTGATATTCTGGCAATGGTTGATGGGCTAGATGATCAGCCAATACACTACC